GAATGTTTTTGGGCATTTTCATGGAAAATGACTTGCGTTACTATTGAAATTATTAATTTTTTAAAACTAAGTATTAATCGTATCAGAAATTGTAGAGTTGGTATATAAAGTTACTTTTACGCCATTGAAAGTGTACAACATGTTGCTTTTTTTATATATTGCTATGTGAAATGGCAAACGGTCACTAAAGCACCCCCCATTAACACCTGTGCAGCTAGCTTAATTAAACTCACTTGTTCAAACACCCCTTTATAGGTACATGAAACGTTTTGTTTATAAATTTCCCAAGGCACGTCCGGCTTCACTACAATGAAAACCTCTATGAAGACTTAAATTTAATTACACGGGGAACTCGGACAATTGCAAAGAATGATCTAACAAATTACAAACCGAACATACCACTAGGTCCTAATACAAAATGCAACTTGAGAACTCTTATATCTTGGGTCATAAATTGAGCCCTGTTAAGCACAGAGTGGATCATTAAATTAAATAAATATATTCGACATAAACAAAGAACTAAAGCTGATGAAAAGGAAGAAAGGCGCTGAAGACCTACGTACAATATGCCACGAACATGCGATCGATTGAAACAAATTAATTAAAAGAAATCTGAATTACCTTAATAAATTAATAAAATGTAAATAATCCTAATATCTGGCCCGAGCTCCGATTTTCTTTCAGTAAAACGCAAACACCAATTAACGTCTTCTGAACCTTCATTTGTTTCCTTTCTCTTGATTATTGACTTAATAAAAAGGGCCTTCCTGTAATTTCAATTGTAGATTTTGTTTTTAGTGGTGGATAACTTAATTTCTTATCGTAATCTAAGTAAATAAATCCGATAATTTAAACAAAATTTCAATACATCTAATAATTATAATACAAATCAACATTGAACTCAAATTTAAATATGATCGAATTTGTGTTCAATGCAAAAAGGACCACATTTAATCTTATAGTTTTTTTTTTATTTTGCCTTTATTTTTAAGTGGGCGGGGTTTCAGCCGAGGCTGCTCTACCAACCCAATCCACTATACATTTACAAATATCCATGCCCGAACCCGGATTCGAACCAGGGACCCTGTACCGCAGTCGAGCTTCCACTGAACTGTGCTACACGGTTCAGTCAAATTAACTCTAAAAGAAGCCTAAACTTAAATAGAAATGAATTTGGTTAGAATTTGTTACAAGATGTAGCTGTTGGCCCGGAACATTTTCAAATGTTGTTCTTTTTTCATGAATAGTTATTTACATAAAAGTCCGGAAAATGATACATTACCGGCGAGGAAATATTGAAGTGCGAGGCCCCTTTGGGGCCGAGTACTTTAATTTCCGAGTCAGGTAATGTCATTCTACTGACGAGTTTTGTATTAAATTTTACCCGAAATCGTATTTTAATATAAAATTTCAATTTTTATATAGAACTTTTGATTAATGTCAATCTGTCAGTGACTACAGGAGTCATTATTTGGAAATGTCACAAATGCGGCCGGTAAAGTGACGGCACGGCCGGTAAAGTGACAGGTGCGGCCAGTAAAGTGACAAGCGGTAGGAAACGTAGGCCTCTGTCATGGAAACTAAAATTTCCTGACAGAAAGTAGGCATAAAAATGAAGGTTTCAGGACGATTTTGGGTAAAGTATATTATGTAATCTCGAAAATTAACCATTGTTGCTACTAAGTAAAATTCATTCGATTTTGGTTTAAATTCGGATTTGGTAACCGCTTTTGATAATAAAACGATATTCCAAAGTTTATCACCGTAGGTTTTATAGTTAAATAAACAAATTAAAAAAAGCAATGATTTGTTCTTTCTCGGAAACAAGCTTGAAGTCAAGAGCTATTCCTCATGAACTATTGATCGGATTTGAGCCTATTTTTTATGTCTTTTCGACAGCTTTCCATTCGCTTATATTATGGAGTTACAGTTCTTGTATTATTTCGTTATTCCATTTATTAACTAAGAAATTTTTTCGGATTTTAAAAAAAAATCCACAGTCCCTCAATTTGCAAAAGTCATCTGGCCAACAATTGTTGGATAGGGTTGTTTTAGGGTTCCGATGTGTGTAAACAAATTGAGAACGATCTGGGGGTCACCTAGTTTGAAAGACAAAGGCAATAGCTAACGAGATATTCTAAAGTCAAATGCGAAAAAACCTCATTTTACCCATGTTTTGTTCGTCTTTTCTTTACAGCTATGTTCCGGGAGTTTCCAGTCTGAAGGTCTGAAGGACTATGATTTTCACTTAGTTTCGTTGAGTGAAGTAATTTGTCTGGTCTATTAGAATTGAGATTTAACATTAAACACAAACACCCATCATTACTATAGTCCGTAAAATGAATGAATTTCATTAACGGATTAGCGCTTATATTAATGCTGCCCCTGAGGTTATATATCGTTGCCATTCCAATACCTAACCTTTCTGCTAAGACGTATGTGGGTTTTTTGTTTTACCTATCTCTCCATGAACTAAGAAAGACGCTACGATATAGGCTTTTACTGTTTTCGATCGTCAAGAAACCTAACTACACGTGTAATAGCAATGATCAGTGCTAATCCGTTTTTGCAACTTATTCATTGTACCGACTATATTATAGGTTCCAATACACAGGGTGATTCGGGAGAAAATGGAAATATTTTACCAACATGTCCACTGTCCAGGAAGCAAAAATATGCAAAATAAGTTGATATGTCCGATTTTCATTTATTTCAGAGATATTTTGAACAATAGTAATTTATAAGAAAAATGAACCTACAAAAAAACATCAGTAACATTAGTTCACGTTAAATTTTCGAAAACTCTACCACCCATTTATCGATACATTTATTTGCGCGGTTATAACTAGACCTGTGGCCTATAACACAAACTATACAATTGTGTAACAAGTCTACAAGTTACAAGTAATCTGCCTATAACTATAACTACAAGTCCTAATGAATTCGATATATGCAAATGAGTTGTGTTATGAAAAAGCTAGAAGTGTAAAATATATTCTAACAATTGTAAGACTTGTACGGCTTGTGTTATAGGCCCCTGGTAGCTAGTTTCAGTGAACTAATTCCTGGACATGTGTTTAAAATATTTTCATTTCTCCCCGAATCACCCTGTATGCCAACAAAAACGTCAACATATTTACAAGGTTGTTAAAGCTGTTTACATAACAATGTCTTCCTTAATTCAACAATTCAACTGCATAATTTAATTAACCCCTAATTGCTCAAAAGTATTTTGAAATTACACACCCCTACATTTTATCGTTCATGTGTGTTCTGGAAACGACATCTAGTAGATAGATTAGAAAAGATTCTGAGAGAATGATTCCAGGAAAACGTTGACATTTTCATTTGATATTTTTTTCGACTGATGGTAACCAAACATTCGCAAAGACCAAAAAAAGAATGAATATGAAAATGACCTGTTATACGGTACTAGCTTTTGTTCCTGATGCTAAAAATAATAAAATGTTGATATTCTAAAATATGAAATTCGTGGTTTTTTATATAAAAAAAATGTGTGAAACACTTCCAAAGTGCCATCTTCGTTACATTGTTATGTTAAACATTCTCATACCTATATAACTAGCTGGACACCAAAGGCATCGCTTTCCGAAAATGTGACGGTACTTACTTAATAATAATAGTAATCAATTTGATGAGCGTTACCTAACAGAAACGTTGCAAATTGAATACGTAATTTTCACGCCATTAGCAGAAATCATCTCGACAATTTACAACTTTAATAATAGCAATGTGTATGCAACACGTAAGTATGTGTTTATAGCTTTGCCCCTTAGGGGTGGCGTTTTAAAAAGCATTTATTTTTCTACAGCACCTTTCGCGGCAGTAGCTGCACGTTCTGATTTAAAATGCACGATCCATCCGATTCTTATACATTTATTGTTGTATGCGGACTGAAAATATTTCATTGACTTTCGTTTCAGTTACATATTTGCATCTTAACTTACGGCCTTTTGTGATAAAGTACACAGTGTGGGTGATTTACAAACTCGTAACACTGATTTCAATGCGAATTTTGACGAGAGCCGATTTCCAAACTGAGCCTTAATAAAAATAATAAGAGTTACTGGTTGTAGGGAAATTTACCCTTAACTTAGGAAATTTTCCCGAAATCTTTGGCTTTAATTGTTCGCTATTGAGTCCTGCCATTTTAGACGATACCTTCCTACAAAACCTGATTGGGCAGATGATCGACAATTTACCTTTGGCAAAGTATGCTGACATGTGTTTTCAACAGAATGGTGCTCCAGCGCATAATATCAGGGATGTTAGGATGTAAGTGGGTGAAAGATTTTGAGTAATTGTATGTTTTTATGTGATGGTTTTTATTACGTAAGTAGAAATATAGAAGGGATTTCATATTTCGCCAATTTCATGGCGTTAACACTACTAACAGTATGGTACAATTACACCCTCTGAGAGTGTGACTAGCCGAAACGACGTACCTACCTATAATTAGTGGTTAAGGTTGAAGGATGGCGAATTCGCTTCTAATTTCAAACTTTAATTTATATATATAAATTAATTAAATTTCGAAAGTGCGTGTCGAGCAAAAAAAAGCGCACACGGAACTATTACTTTTAAAAGTCATTAATTTAGGACCCGGAGTTTAGCTTGTGATTATTAATACAAGCAGTTATGTATATGGATAGAAAATTGCTGAGTTAAGACGGAAAGAGAAATAACTAATATCGTAAAAACATTAATCTAACTGGCATCAAACATTTCGATAGTTTGACAGTTAGAGCCGTTCAGACATCGAACCAAACGCTGACTCATACTCTAATGACGAATATAACACCGACAAAGAGCTTCACGCCGCAAAACTGACGATCACGGTCATGTCAAGAATTTATTTAAAAAATATCTCAAGTACCTATCAGTTTTTTTTAACACTTAAAAGTTACTAAACACCTGCATTTCTTGACCTGTACGTGAACGTATTGAAATGTGAAAGTAATTGCTTTTTTTGCTTACAGGTTAACTTTGTCAAGTCGAGATTTAAGAACCGATACTGTCCTTAGTTCGATAAGGAGGATGGGAGAAATTGTGAAGGAAATGTCCAACGGTTCCTTTCTCGAGTGCCTAATTCAATGAACCTAAAGGTAAAAAGTGGCATTTAGTAATATTTTATAGTTTAGGTTTTTAATTACCAATAAAATTTGCAGCGTTTTAGCCGCAACGATTTTCGGATCGATATCATGCAGCTCAACGAGCAGAATGGTAACAATAACAACTCACTTTTTGTAGTGAATCTGTAACACTGTGCACAGATATATTACGTATATCTGTGGTACAGTGTAGACAAATAATTCATTAACGAAGTATTATTGTTTTTTTCAGATTCCTTTTTCTACCACCGCTACCACCACAAATTCACAATATATATTTTACTTATCATTTTTTTCTTGTTCAGTTCAATAATCTTGTTGTAGGCTTGACTGAAGGGCTGCACCGATCCATCTCATATTCAGGTTCAGCAGGGTTGTTTCTTAGACGACTCCGATTTGAAGGCCCGATTGTACCACATTCGTGTAATTTAGGGTCAGTACTCAATTGAACTGAAAGAAGGTGGTTAGGCAATTGCAGAGTTTTAACCAATTCCCGAAGTCGGTTCAACTGAACATCAATTTGGTACAATCTGGCCTAAGCTTTTCAAGAGGACACCAGATGCAATCAACAACGATTGCATCTTCGTAATAATTGTAACTGTAAATTCTTAAAATTACAATAAAAATCTCATTTATACGTCAAATATTTGTGGACAGGTATCTTTTTTAGGTAGATTTAAAGAAAAGTTTTCTTAATGGAGCAGGGCATAAAACCGTCAGAACCCGTTTTTCAACATATCAATTATCCCTCCTTCAAACAAACATTTTGATTAATTGAAACCTATTACATTTTCATTTATTATCTATTTTTTCTGTTGAGTTTTATTGAGTATCGAGCCAACAAGCGTGGTGTTCTGTAATGGCTCATGGTGGAAATGCTGCTTCACTTTTCTAATATACGGTATGCAATATTACCTGAAAATGTTGAGCCTCTTAAACTGTACTTTTATTTGACAATCCGGAAGAATATAATAATGCCTTAGAACCAGAATTATCTGTAGAGAATAAGTTGGGTCGCGAAAAAACCACATTTTAATTATTTTTTTAAACTTTGAATTTTTTTTTAAAAATTAATAAACCGATAAAATTGCAATGGGTGCAGATCCCAGTGTTGTATATTTTGCTGTAAATCAATTAGTACACAAGAGAAATAGCAAACAAGTTTTGCAACACAAGTAACAGTGTTATAGTTTTTTGTCATTACGGCAGACTTATCATGGTCACTTTGATCTCCTTCCGGCTTTCATAATTATTATTTATTTATGAATTCATAAAAAATAAAAGAACGCAAATGATAAGTACTATATACCTACTATTTTTCACCGAGAACGTCAACATTGACAAACGCGATTACCATGACAACCACTGGTATGAGCACTTGATAATTTTGAATTTTTGAAACTTATGTAACTATACTGTATTCATTTTAAGAAGGTAGCGGTAGAAAGCATAGGGAAGCTTTGACCTTCACTGTGATTGGTTAAAACATGAGTCAGTATTACAATGAAACATAAAACAACTGGTGAATTTTGTAAGGTGGTAGTTTATGTTACCAACTAAACTGCCGAAGTGTCATTAGCTGTTATTGTCAAAGGTTTATTTCTGTTCACAGTGCTGAATATTTCTACTTTACAATAATTTGGTGCCGTTTTATATTTTTCCTGTGTGTGTTTATCTTCAAACACAGCGCCATCTACTACCTTCTTATAATGAATGTAGTATAAAACCATTCGGCTACGCTTCGCGGTTTTAACGTTACAACGCATTACATTATGATGTTCATATCGAACTTGTATCAAAGTATAAGGAGATAGGTACCTACTAATATTTTCACCGAAAATGCAAATTTCGTTTTCATTTTCCCTAGCTTAAACGGTCGGAAATGGACAATTCCCGTTCGCACCTTCTTTTTTTTCAAAAAATCTGAATCTGCTATAAGAATTTCCATAACACGCTAGATGTAGAAGCTACAGGCTACTACTTTCTTATTTCTTATGGACGCCATGTTGAATGTTTACAGAATGAGAGAACAAAAAAAGAAATCATTTGAATGCATCGCCATCATAGCCGTATTGATTCAGTAAAATCTAGTTACCCGTGGATTTTTGTTGTTGAAAAATGAATGTCAAACATTTGATGTTGAAAGTATAAAGTGCGACACGTCATTATTTTTCTTTTTTTTTGTGAACTATCTCATTCTGTAAAAATCCAACATGGCGTCCATAAGAAATAAAAGAAAGTAGTAGCCTGTCGCTTCTACGTTCTACATCTAGTGTGTTATAGAAATTCTGATAGCAGATTTCTGATAGCAGAAGTTTTAAATTTTCAGTTTTCAGTGATATCTCATGCCCCCCCGATGGTAAAATACTTACAGAATAATCCTCGGAGTTTCCATAGCAGTCTGCTATGGTAATGTACCTACAATATATAAGGGGTGCTGGCTTGTGATTGGTGGAAAAGGAACACTGCCATCTCAAATTTCCTCTTTTTGAATTCTCCCCAATAACTCTTACTTAGATCAATGTGTTTTTTTTATAAAATTACCAGTGCCGGTTTACCGGGTAGGCATGCACCTTGGGGCGCCGACCATTTAGGGGTGTCAGTCAGATGTTAAATATTGTACGCCATAGAGCAGTACGTAGACGTACACTGTCAACGCAGTTACTCTCCAGTGCTGTTGAACTTTGATGGAATGGAATTTCCTTTAATGATGAAAAAAATAAGGAAAGAAGCTGACATTCTATATCCCGTGTGCAGCTCATTCCCTGAATTTGGTAGAATCATTAGCTACTGAATCATGTACGTTAGCAACTTCGTATTTCATGTTCGTTGAACAAATATCCAGGGTGCCCATTATGTTTGGAATATAGTATATATCTCGGTAAATATTGACTGTATACAAATTTTTTTATATGAAAGTTGTTTAGCATTTTATTTCCCATAATAAGGCAGCATTCCGTTGTTTTTATTTCAGAAAACAAATGATAATTGAAAAACAATTGAATTTTTTTTAATAGCACTGCACACTTTCATTAGACTCATTTGAGAGAGATTTTTTTTCTCTTTTCAATGACGACGCGTGTAGAAGAAATTACCTTGCATCAGTTATGGTGAACATTTTGAACATTCATTGCGATTAAAACCATTTTACTGCTAATTTCATTTTGTCTTCAAGGTTTAATAAGAAATGTACATGTTCATTTGTTTTATTTTGATGTAGGATATCTGGATTAATGTTATTGATCTAATTAGAATAAACTTTTTTTTTAATGTTGTTGAATAAGGGTACCTACTAACATGTTATATCATCGAAAAGAAAAAAAAATCTCTATCAAATTAGTCTAATAAAAGTGTGCACTGCCTTTTAAAAAAATTCAATTGTTTTTCGTTACTAATTTGTTTTCTTAAATAAAAACAACTGAATGCTGCCTTATTACGGGAAATAAAATGTTAAACAACTTTCATATCTATATAAAAATGTTGTACAGATTCGATATTTACCGAGATATATACGATATTCCATACATAACACCCTGTATGTATTTCTGTCCAGTTCCACGTATCGGTAGACACTTTTAAAGGGAAAAATTGAAAAACAGGAAAAACCGTTCTAATGTTCAATTTCAGTTTTAGAGAATTATTATTTTTTGTTATCTAAAATTATTAATTTAAAAGAAAAGGATTTTTTTATTTAACACCACCGTGCCTAGAGGAGAAAATGTTCAAATGAGTGCCGTCCATAACGTTGGAATTAAAGTGCACAAAATGGGGGCGAATGGTAATCGTTATGCGAAAATATTTATACCATCCCCATATATTCTTTAATAATTAATTAAAGAATATATGGGGAAGGTATAAATATTTTCTCATAACGAGAAAATGTTCCTAAAGTGGCATTGAAAATTAGTCTACTACCACTACTCCCACATCAAGCATCCTACTCTGATCTCTGAACAGGTGTAACTTTTAGTTTGGGTAATGCGTAACAGGCGTAACGTTTGGTAGAATTTTATCAATTTTTGTTTTAATTTCACGGAAATAATAACGCTGGGTTCTATGTCCGGATGCGGTATGAGGCATTTTCCTATATTGTATTAGTAATGTGCATCAGGGATTGTTGGATGTTTTGGTTTATCATAAAACATCGCACGCATTCACGCAAGAAGTTTTTGAGTGACTTTCTGCCTGGCCCTTAGTCGCGAGATGGTAAGGTGCAGTACATCTATGTATGATACCATGACGTGATTCTAAAATTTTTTTTAATTCGCTAGACACTAGTTGACTGTCTTTATCGCCAATAAGGTAATCAGGGAACCCAAAACGTGAGAATATAGCAGACATGTACTAACATTTCAACTTAGGTGTTATGTTTCTCATTGCATGAATTTCGGGCATCCACCAAAATGAAAAAATACTAACTTTGAAAAGGGCCAGCAAAATCGTAGTGAAATTGTTTGATATAAGGTAACCAATGATGATAAACAACCATAACCATAACAACCCTAAAAAGTATTATGCGGGCCACTCCGTAATTGGGCGAAAGCCTGTCGAGAGAACACATAAATTTGTGCGCCGTTATTTTGTACAAGAACCTTTATCCGAAATCATCAGCAAACCTTACATTTTCATGCAGACTTTATGTCAGGAAGTTTTAGTTTCCATGACTGTGGCAGTCATATAAGCTTTACCTGCCTACTTGTCCGGTCGCCTGTCACTTTATCAGACTCCTTTTCTTGTCGCTTTGCATGTCACATCCTAAGACTATGGAAGAAGGGAACCCGTAATACCCATGAAGCACATTTTCGCATAGCTTAGAAAGATTTTTTACTTCTTGTTGTATCGTGTAGATGTTTGCATTTCCGTCTTTTCACGTGTGTGATGCTTTGGGCATTTTTTCTAACTCTGACTGACCTATGACTTCCTATTCGTCACTTATATTACCTATCTACACACGTTTTTCAAATCTTCCGTTTGTGCGTCTTACTTCCTCTAGTTTCCACAGTTCCTACATTTTTTCCTTCAGATTAATTTTTGTGAAGTACAAGGGATGTTCCCGTGGGCTTACGTAATACTTTAGGGGTAAAATTATCAAGGAAATCTACCATTCACCATCGGGATCTCCGCAACGGTGAGAGATTGATTTCTATCAATCAGAGTGCTAAGGGCCTATGTCTATTATAGAGTTACCTTTCTTGTTATATTCCGGAAGTTATTCCATTTGTTACTTAACTAAGAAAATTTTACTTCCTCGATTTGCAAAAATCGGGACAATTGTTTTAGGGTTCCACTGTGTGTAAAAAAAATTGAGAACGCTCTGGGAGTCACCCAGTTTCAAAGACAAAATACGGTTTTTTTTAATTTGTTTAATTATCTAAAAAGATAAACATTTGAAAATGAACGTCCCGGACCAAATTTATCTTGTATAGAAAATTCGATTCTAAACAAATTCGTTTCTATTTGTTTTTTCCCTCAGAGCTCAGAGTTAACGAGATATTTGAAGTCAAATGCGAAAAAAACTTAACTTCCCCCTTTTTTTGTTTTTTTGTTTATAACAATATGTTCCGGGAAATTTCGACCAGGGGAACCATGATTTTCGGATTCACCGGATTTTTTACATATGTAATACCTACA